TGAGTTCAGGCCGACCTCTACCTCTCTTAACAACATCGGCCCGCTGTAGAACTCCCCTGCGCACCGGTGCATCAGGAGGCCTCCGTTGGACATGACCGAACCACCTCAGCCCATGTTGAACCAATTTCTCCTCAATTGGGGCCACCCCGACCCTATCATGAATATCCTCATTTCGGATTCTATCTCTTCTTGTGTGCTCGCAAAACCGACGCAACATCCGCATCTCTGCTACACTTAGTTGTTGGACATGTTGCCTTTTTGTAGGCCAACATTTAGCACCGTATAGCATCGCCGGGCGAATCGCCGTCCTATAGAACTTACCTTTTAGCTTTTGTGGCACCCTCTTATCACAGAGAACGCCCGAAGCTTGACGCCATTTCAACCAACCAGCTGCAATTCTATGCCTAACATCTTCATCAATGCCGCCATATTTTGTAGCATCGATCCTAAATATCGGAAAGTCTCCTTCTTGGCCACCACTTGCCCGTCAAGGCTAACATCACCATCATCATGAGTAGCCATTCTGAAAGAGCACGTCATGTACTCGGTCTTCGTCCTACTAAGTCTGAAGCCTTTCGACTCTAACGTGTCCTTCACAACTCTAACTTCCTATTTTCCCCGGCCCTACTCTCGTCAACTAGCACCACATCATCAGCAAAGAGCATACACCAAGAGAGATCACCTTGTATGTCCCTTGTGGCCTCATCCATCACCAAGGCAAATAAATAAGGGCTCAATGCTGACCCCTGGTGTAGTCCTATTTTAATTGGAAAGTCGCTAGTATCGCCCCCACATGTTCGAACACACGTCATCGCATCCTTGTACATATCCTTGATGAGGGTAATGTACTTAGATGGGATTTTGTGCTTTTCTAAGGCCCACCACATGACATTCCTCGGAACTCTGTCATAAGCCTTCTCAAGGTCGATAAAGACCATGTGCATGTCCTTCTTTTGGTCCCTATATCTCTCCATCAACTGTCGTATTAGGAAAATCACCTCCATGGTCGACCTTCCAGGCATAAACCCAAATTGGTTTTGGGTCACACTCGTCACTCGTCGTAGGCGATGCTCGATAACCCTCTCCCGGAGCTTCATCGTATGGCTCATCAACTTAATCCCACGGTAGTTACCACAACTTTGAACATCACCCTTGTTCTTGAAGATCGGTACTAAAGTACTTCTCCTCCATTCATCAGGCATCTTGTTTGACCGAAAGATGAGGTTAAAAAGCTTAGTTAACCATACCAACGCTCTGGCGCCCAAACATCGCCACACCTCAATAGGAATACCATCAGGGTTAAGGTTTCAATATTTTACGAAAAGTAGATTTATTTATTTAATTCAAGCAATTCTTTAGTTGAAATTAGAATTTAGAGTTAGAGTTGAATTAGAGATTTAGGGTTAGGGCTATTGATATGAATTTATACACTTTATTATTATTATTATTATTTTTTTTTAATTGATTGGAGGTTAGAGGTTGTAGATACCATATTTGGATTTATCCTCCGATGTGTGCAAGATGTGAGTCGATTATCCCGGGACTTCAGAAACGATTCGATAGTCTTGAAGAAGAGTTAGTGCTCAAGAATCTTAAAAATAAGATCATGTTGTTGGTTGTGTTACATGTCTCTTGGTTTTGGATAAATTTGTATATAGGTAATGTAGGACGATGTATTGTGAAATAAAATGGATTATTTGTTGCATTTCAAGTAAGTAATGTGTGTGATAGACATTCTGATTGATAAAATTAAGCTATAAAGACAAGAAAATATAACTCAAACTTGGTGCTCGTAAATGAAGTTTCTAAGCATTTACAATGACTTCCATAGTCCAACAAACCACTTCCATCACCTATAAAAAATAAGCATAACATCAAAAGGTACCTTACCTGCATGAACAAGTACATACCTTCAAGTTCGAAAATGGATCGGTTTCATCAAATTTTTACAATATATGTCTAACAAAAACATAAACAGTCGTTGTTACCCATAGTAAGACACTCCATCCACAGAGAACATCTTGCTTAGGCTTTTGGTTGAAAAAAAAACACATCATTCCTCCCGACTGCTTGGCTAGCTAATACCCTTCGGTGGTCGGTCATTTCCTCTTAAACCCAATGTTCTTCTTTTCCTCTTTAGAGGCTAGGTGGTCTTTGGTATATGATGCTCTTGGCTGATAGGTGCAATCTTTGATTTGCCTTTTCTTTTCATCTCCACATCCACAACACTTGTTCTATGTTCACCACTTGACTCAAACAATCTCTTTTGTGCCTTTAAGATCTTAATACACTTTCATTGTCATGAAAAAAAAAAGTGAAATTTTATAGAATCAATTTCTTAAGATAACTACTTTATGAATTTAAAGTCTTGCTAGTTTGTCCCTTGTTACTATCATTTACCTCGACTCTCGGGCTTCTCCTTAGTATATGATGTTCTTGACTAGAAGGTACACTCTCGGAGTTGCCTCTGCCCTTTATGGCCATATCCACATCACTTGGTCCATGTTCACCACCTGACTCAAATACTCTCATATATGCCTTCAAAACATCGATTGAAATTCATTAGCAAGAAAAAAATCTTACATTAATTAAATGCAGCACTTCATATTAGTACCTGTGATCTTGAAGTCTTGCTAGTTTGCTCCTTGTTATCAACATATACTTTGACTTTTGGGCTTCTCCTTTGTCCCATTTGCTCTTGGTTGACAGGTGCACTCTTTGAGTTGCCTTTTACTTCCTTGGTACATTAGGCATAAATGCACAAATAGTCAGAAAAATAACCTGGAATTACTTATACGTAATAACACGTGTGTGATGACATAATGTACGTTAGATTGTGAAGGAATTTTGTCATTGTCGCATTGAGCACATGGAGTTGGGATGTCTAATTTCTCTTATGATGTAGTCTTCGTCAACAAAAGGCATCGTCTGATGTTGTGGATTTTCACAGTTAGTCACTACAAGTCATTTTTACACCACTTAGTCTCATCTTGGCACCTTTTTGGTACCCTGACTGTTATTTTTGAGACTTGTCTGCATCTTCGGCCTTTCGTCTTGCATACTTTCTAG